TTTGCCTGTATGCATGGATATGCACTGTTTGTTCCTATCGGATCCTCTGGAGCTGGGGTTATAGGTCTTTGTGAGCCAGTGTGAGTGCTGGGGATTGAACTCTTTAATTCTGTGTGTGCATGTACACAGTGTGTGTGGACACATGGTCTGGAGTTCATTCCTCCTGGCACCCCAGGTAGGTTCTGGGGAACAAACTCAGCTCACAGGCTTGGAAACTAATCCTTTTTACCCACCGAGCCACTGAGCCATCTCACTGTCCCCAACCTAGAGTATTGTATGTGTTACTGTATTTAATTAAAACATACTGCTGATGAGGTGTAGTGGCATATGCCTGTAATCCCAGCACTCAGGAGCTGAGGCAGGAGGATCACCTGGAGTTTGAGGCCACCCTGGATTATATAGTGATGTGCATTTGCAGAATAAAAACCTAGAATTTACCAATGTTTTACATGTTTTACATGATTTACATGTTCCTGGCTCCTTATTTGGGTGACTCTATAGGGGATATTTTGGTTGATGGTTCTCTGTCCGGAACAGAATACAGAACACTCTTCTGTTTGGTGGGTCAGGTTATGTATGAGATACCAGCACCCAATAGCTGTCATCTTAGCTAAGTATGCATTGGTGCCCTGAATCAAGTTGTCAGTATTCAGTTCCAACTTCCTAAAAGTTTGTATAGGGCCCTGTTTTGCCCTATAGATAAGAAAAGTGTTAATTTGGGTAATGGATTTGTTTGTTTGTGACACCATGATCTTACTGTGTAGCTCTGGCTGTCTTGGAACTTGCTCTGTAGACCAGGTTAGCCTCCTGCCTCTGCTGAAATGAAGGTGTGTGCCACCATACCTTGTAAGGGTAGGTAATTTTTAAGGCTACCTTACTTTGTGAAATAGTTCATAGTCACTCCATGAATTCACAAAATGAATTTGTAATTATACAAAAATAAAAAAGCCCTGAGTGATAGATGCTGAGAACAGATGGTCAGTCAGCTCTTGATTTGCACTCTTGTTCCACCATGAATGGCTCTCGATGGCTCTGCTCTCAGGACCAGCCAGAGAACCCCATGCTGGGATTGGACGGACGAGAGCCATGCCGGAAGCTGCTTGGTTGTCCATCTTTGCTCTCTTTGGTTGCAGAGTCTTTCTCACTGTGAGCTGATCACGGACGATGGGATTCGTCACCTAGGGAATGGGGCCTGCGCCCACGACCAGCTGGAGGTGATTGAGCTGGACAACTGCCCACTGATCACCGATGCGTCCCTGGAGCACTTGAAGAGCTGTCACAGCCTTGAGCGGATAGAACTCTATGACTGCCAGCAGATCTCACGGGCTGGCATCAAGAGACTCAGGGTAAGGAGCACTGCTCGTCGGCCCCACCCGCCTTCCCCTCCACAGCCCCTTCTTCCTCTTGTCTCTCTCTCCTTTTTTTCCTCACCTGTTTTTTTATTTTTTCAGATTTCCCTCAATTTCTCTGTTTTACTTTCCTTGGATAGTCACCTGTACGTCGGGTGGAACTAGTAGGAAAGTGCTCCTGAAGGGAAGAAGTCTGAGCAGTAGTGTCTAGGCCTTCACCAATCCCCAGGGCACAGACAAATCTTGAGAAGGCTCTCATGCTAGAATTTGGTTCTAAGGGGAAGAGAGACATGACAAAGAGACAATGAGCTTCGCCGGGTGGTGGTGGCGGCGCACGCCTTTAATCCCAGCACTTGGGAGGCAGAGGCAGAGGCAGGCGGATTTCTGAGTTCGAGGCCAGCCTGGACTACAGAGTGAGTTCCTGAACAGCCAGAACTACACAGAGAAACCCTGTCTCAACCAAAAAGAAAATGAGCTCCATTTGTACAGTGAGACAGTCTTCATATAAAAAGGAAAGGGAGGCTGGGGACACGTCAGGGCTAGGGAGCTTGCCTGGCATTTACACGGGAGAGGTGGGGACACTGGAGATTAAACAGCTCCACACTTGCCTCAGGAAACAACAGTGTGACAGCCATCCCTCACAACAGAAAAGGGGCTCTTGGAGTAGCAAGACCTTACATCAACAGGACAGACAGTCATGGGCTAGCAGAGCATCTTCATTTGCTGGTATTTTGATTTTCCCTTTTACTTAACTATTGAGGGGTGTCTAAGGGAGCTGAGAGCCTAAAGGTAGGATCCCCATTTTTAGACCCTCTCATTTAACAAGGAACACATACCTTAAACCTAGTAAATATTCAGATAAAGACTAGAAACATGTTTTGATTCAATAAGTAATTAAGTTTGTCTAGCTTCTTCCAGCTATGGGATTCTAACTGGGAGTCCTCTCCATAGAACAGAGTACAGCCACGGGCCTCTACATCCTAGCATCCTTAGCGTCCCTGCTCTCCGGCACTCAGCCCCTCGGCTTCTCTGAGAAGCAGCATTGCTTTCTCTTTCTCTGTCAGCGCGCTCTCATTAATGTTTCTGTCTTGTTTCAGACCCATTTACCCAATATTAAAGTCCACGCCTACTTCGCCCCTGTCACTCCACCCCCATCAGTAGGGGGCAGCAGACAGCGCTTCTGCAGATGCTGTATCATCCTATGACAGCGGAGGTGGTCAGCCTTGGTGAACTGAGTATTTAATGACACTTCTAGACATACCATGGAGTCTCTCCGGTGGAAGCAACCCCAGCGTCCTGGGCAAGGGTTACAAAGCGAGGGCAGCGTCCAGATCCCCAGAGCCACACACACAGGCACTTCACTCCATCTGCTGTCGTTCTGTGACCATGGCGCTGAGGTTCACACTGGCTGTCACAAGTGGGCTGGTAAAACAACCGTTGCAGTTGGACATGCCCAGAAGCAGCTGCAGGCTGTGGTAGAGGGAGGGGACGTTCCAGCAGAGCCCAGTGTCACTGCTTCTGTGGTTTCTTTATTTTATTAAGGGGTGTCTGTGGGGGTTTTGAAACAGTAACTGTGATCCTCCAGGGTGAGAGGTAGCATGGGAAACAATATATGACGTATCCAGGGACCAGAAAGAAAACTTCTCTGCATCCTAGAACTGGTAGCCATCCACTGGGAGATGCCTACACAACTTCTGGGCTTCCTTGTTCCCATGCTAACATGCTGAGCATGCTCACAGAGAAGGCGCATCCACTCATCTGCTCTTTTAGCATTTGACCCAGAGGTTTTTTTAGCGGCTGCATTGAAATCACTGGGGTCCAAATAGAATTCCTTTTCTTATCTGCTCAGTTTGTCACTGTATGTCACTGCACCCGTCTTCCGTTCTCTCGCTCACTGCCGCTCTCTTTCTCGTCCAGTCTGTCCTCCTCAGGATGCTGCCCATTCGGTTGTTACTCTGTTGCTGTTGTGTTTACAGTTTGCATTTTGGATGAATTAGTTGGGGTCACCAAACATTTTTAAAAGAAACATCAATAAATATTTTTTTAATCTAACTTTTACCATCAGGGGACCCTGCCTGAATCTTTGCCAGTCTGGAAAGAAATTTTAAAAAAAAAGCAGGAAAGTTATGATAAGAAGTAGTCAGACTGTATGGATGATAAGAAACTTTCCTTTTGGTTTCTGTTGTATCCTATGCTGTAAGTTTGTTTGTGTGCTGTGCACTGTCCCCAGCACATTTCCTTCCTACCACCCGCTGAGCTTACTAAGACAAGAGAAGTGCATTAGTGTGTGGGGTGGGTGACAAATCCCCAAACTGAGCCTGAATGTCCCCGCTGCCCAAGCTCAAGCACAAATGACCAACGTCCTGTGCCGACAGGCATGTGGGTGCGATCTCCACCTGTGTCTGAGTTCCTTAAACTACCTGCTTTGCAGCAGTGCTGCTGGGGTGGGGGCTGTGCTGGTTTCTTGATCCCCTCCCACAGTTAATTCTATCAGGGATACAAGAAGGGCCCTGTAATGGCAGGTTGCCTGTGTGTTGACGGAAGACCTGAGCATATCAGCTGTCTCTCTGCAGACTTCCTCTGAAAGGGGATATGAAGACAGCCAGGTGGAAGCCCTGGGGCAGCCAGAGAGCCTGGAGAGGGAATGAGCACCAGGCCTGGGCACCTGACACCAGAGCAGAGGGAGCAGGTTTAGTACTTATGGCTCAGAGCCAAGAAAAGACTCTTTAAAGAAACTCAGAAAACGAGAGAAATTAAATGACGGTCTAAGGCACATTTCTAAACCCCAATGGTAGAGCCTTGTGTGATTTGTAGTAGGGTATGGGGGAAAGGGGCTTTTAGGACATGGATGTGCAAACCTGTGATCCTGGTGTGTTAAAAGGGCTGTCTTAATGCTATAGGTACAGGTTCTGCCAAAATACATAGAAGTCTTAAGTCTGATGTACCTCTCCAGCAATGTAGAAAACAGTCAGATGAAAGGCCTTCATTCTATACTACACGATTTATTTATCATATTAAACCTATTTAAAATCTGATTTTATTATGTTCATTCGAAAGCTAAATTACTTGTGTTTTTATTCCTTTCCCCCTTTATGTTCACATTACCTTGACAGAAATCTCTTTTCCTCTGAGACTGTCTTGTTACATTGCTCACCTGGCTGGTCTCGGGCACCTGGACTCCAGTTACCCTCCTCCACCTTAGCCAGCACCCTGAGTGGCTGGGACTTGGATGGCTAGTACTGCTTTGCCTGACAGGGCTATTTGTGAACCTCCCACTCCCTCCCCCAGACAGAGTCTTACTCTGTAGCCCTGACTGGCCTGGAATTTGTGGTTATTTTCTTGCCTCGGCCTCCTAAATGCTGGGAGTATAAAGTTAGACTCGGTGCAAACATACTCATAAACACACTTGCAAATGTATTTAGATGTAGATCCCCCTAGGGTCTTTCAGACTAAACCAAAAGAAATTGAGGGTCCGTCTGCTCTAAAGTATGTTGTTTGATTTTTTTTCTCCTAAGTGCCTAACAAGTTGGCAGTAAGACCTGAACACTGAGCAGGTGGTGGACACGGATTTGATTGGCCCAGTCTAAGTCATTCAGGGACATTTTTCCATTAAACTTTGAATGCGTCTCTTTTTTTTAATATTGTGTCAAAAAGTCTTAAATGCTATCTTCTCAGAGTGTATTGCCACACGCAGGTTCATTGGCTTTGTCTTGGTGACCCCTGTGGGCAAATCACAACCTTTCTGGGCCAAGAACACAAGTCAGAAGGAGGAGGCCTGCTGATGTATAGCACCTGCTGCATATGGTCAGGCGAGCGTCCTGCTCCTTTCTCGGGTAACAGCAGGCCCATCATGCTTAGAGGAGTAGAGAGAAGCACTGACCTCTGAACCCAAGTGCTAGCTTCCCACACCCAGAATACTCTTTAAGAATTCAATAGGGTTTTGGTTTGGTTGGTTGGGTTTGGGTTTGTTTTTAGGACTGGGGATGGAACAGGGCCTTCTCAAGCATCAAGCAAATGTTCTACCACAGAGCCACATCTTCAGCCCTAGTACTGCATAACATGAAAAACCTCTTTTGAGAAAGCCTACTGGGGGCTACCGCAGTGGCCAGAAGGGGAAGCACTTCTCATGCGGTCTTACTAGAGTTCAGCCTCCAGAACATTCAAAAGAGAGACCGGGATGGAATTCCAGCACTCCTGTAGCCAGGTGGAGGCAGGAGAATAAGCCAAAAGCTTGAGGCCCTCCATCCTGGAGTGCATAACACTGACAGAAGCAAAATAGACCCTGCCTTAACAAGGTGTGGAAGGAGAGAGCAGCTCCAGACTGTCCTTTGACCTCCATACAAGGCGTGGCACAAACATTCACAGGCATAAACATGCACTTTCACAATAAACTACGAAAATGAGGTATAGTTGTTTGTGCAAAAGATGCAGAGCTGAAAGATTGCTGCAAGTACCAAGTCAGGTGGGGACACATCGCAAGGAACGGTCTCTGGGAGTGGGGGTGGGGGGGAGCCCGTTGGTCCATTTGTCTCATTTACACCCACTTCAGAACACGCCTTCTACAATGGGGGAAAATAGTGACTAGCTAAAAGCTCTAGAATGAGATGGGGCCTCCGGGCTGAGGTCTGAGATGAAAAGGCTCTTTCTTGTTTGAGGTCAACCTTGGCTACACTGTGACACTGTTTCAGCATGCCAAGCAAAAAGAATAAGGTACCCTCAAAGATGTTGCCCTAAGCCTCCAGGTGGCTAGTGGGGATTGCTGTTATCTCTGGAGAAAGTTCTTGAATATACAGACAACCTCAGTTGTAGGCCCTGCTTCCCTGTGTCATCTGTGATATTCCACCACCATTAGCTGCTGCCATTTTATTAGCCCTATGGATGTGGCCGTCAGTCCTTCCAATTCTTTCAGCACCCACCCTGCCCTCTGTCTAAAAGCTCTGTTGCATTGTGGAACATGTCAAGTCTAGCACCTTTGGATTCCTTTCCCTGGTGTCAGTAAGCTGTGATGGGCAGAACTAGATTCAGTACAGTGGGGCGGAAATGGCTTGGGATGTGACTTACATGATGGTCCATGGGGTTTGGTTTTTGGCTTAGAGTTGAATTTGAGGTCTAACTGATGTCTCTGAGGAGTAAAGGACCTAATGTCCATCTCTCCCAGTATTTGAAATATTAAACCGCTCTACTTAATGTTTTAGAAATGTGTTTTACTGCCCCTGTTCTCGCCCTGACAGCCTCCCTGGATGTGAAAGTATTCCTATGTCTACTAGGTTGATGTAGCAGACATGTAAGTCAGAAATGGTGTTTTAAACATTTCCCAGGGAAAGTTGGTGAGTTGCTTACCACGCTTTGTTAGGGTGTTCTGCACCGTTTGGAGTGTTTGTTGTAGCTATGGGGCACTGACATCCAATCTGGACTATTTGTAGCTGTGGGCCACTGAAGTCTATTTGATATTTTCAGTTGTCTTTTAAAATGTGTTTGAAACATGCCTTGACATGACATTGTTAGGGCATAGGAAAGTTGTCACTGAAAAGAGGAGAGTGACTCCCTCCCTGTCCGTGGGCAGCGTTGTAGGTGACAGTGTTGAGACTTGGAAATCCTCAGATCGTGACTGATCTTGGGCTGTTAAGATGGCTTGGCTGTGACTGTTTGCAGGCCAAGTCCAACCACCTGACTTGTGACGCCGAAGGAACAGAACTGATGGCTGGAAATTGTTCTGGCTTCCATGGACGTACGTACCATGCAATCCATGTGCACACCTGCATTATAATTAAAGATTATTTAAACAAGGCTTATTGCTCCAAAGTCAGGCAGCTCATCTCTAGTCATCAGTGAGAGCGTGGACAAGAACAGGCTCTGCTGAGCCTTTTCTGAATTGTGTAGGTGGGTTTCTGTGCTGATAGACCAGAGGATAAGCCCAGCCTTCTCGGAGAAGAGCTAGTGTGTTTGCTTGGAGGTCTTGAAGCAGAAACCCTTATATGACCTGAGGACAAAAATGTCTAAGTCAGAATGATGAGAGAGAGTAGGAATCTCAAACCACCTCATCTTTATTTCTATCTTAAGTCTGCATCAGAAGATGCAAAAGGCAGTGTGATTAGCCCTGCTGATTGAGAATGAAATTTGGCTGTAAATACAATATCCAAATGTCCTGACTTCACGCATCTTTATTCGCCAGCAATAATATATATATATGCTATTTAAGCACCGGCTGTTGTAATCCTGCCTTCTTTTACCTGCTGGACACTACCATAGGAGGCAGGCGAGTTGTTTCTGTGAAGGGCTCTGGAGATTCCCATTCGAGCCAGATCCACTGTGCTGTGCACTTTGACTTCTCGGGATGTCATTTCTGCGTCTCTGGAGGGTTTCCACTATCATCCTCTCGTTTGAGTCTGAATGACTCTTGGGAGTTTAGAAAGTTATATGTAATATTTGAGAGGGAAAAGCTGTTCTACAAACCACATGTAGTGTGTTGGAGAACCTGCAATTCTTTGGTCTCTGCCACATGAGTATGTTTGGTCTAAGGCTTTGTGGAGTCAAGTTTACAAAAGTGTCAGTACTTCTCAGCCAGAATGGCTTGTAGAACAAGAACCGTGAACAAGCAGAAACCTAGTGATCCTTTCCACTCTGTGTCCCCCAGGAGTTGGCATGGGGAAATGACAGCCAAGGCTCCTAAGAGGATGCTTTGCCTCAGGAAGAGCATCTTTCCTGAGCTCATAGACTGTTCCTTCCCACATGACGCATTTGCTGGTTTTTTTCTTGGCGTCAACTCCATGCCCTTTGGGTGGCAATAAGGGCTTCCTTGCTTCTGGGCACAGCGTTAGTACCAGGCCAGGAGTGTAAACAGTGGACAATAGTTCTTCCCCCTAGGATGAAGTAGTGGTAGACAGGTGTCGTCTGCCAGGTCCCAGGAGATCTTTGAAGTTAGTCTTTTGCTCCATTTACTGTGTTAGCTCCAATCTGCCCTGTATTGCTGCTTATGTGTGTTTCTTCGTGTACCCTAACATTTCCCTCACAGCTCCCCAAAACATTCAACCATTTGTTGTTTGTAGCACTGGAGAACAGGGATCTCTGAAGTCTTGAAGATGACTGAGTGGTGTGGGTCATTAGTTAGCTCCCTCCCCAGAGACACGAGTGTCCCGGTGCTGCCTCAGTGAGAGGAGCCTCGCTGTCGCTGTCCGGGTTTCCGTAGGAAGGCTTGCTCCTTGTAAGGATCATTTCTCACATGTTTCTGACGACTGTTAATCTCTAACAAGTAGGAGTGTGAGCCTGATTCCCATGACACCCTCCCTGACACACTAACACCTAGGTCCTCTTGACATGTCCATCCCAGAATCTTTAGGCCAGCTCTTCCTCCCTCATGTGACCCCAGAACTGACCCCAGGAATCAGAGATTCCCTCTGGAAGAGGCTTGAGCCCACTGTCTCTGCTCTATCCACTCTGGCCGCCTCCTTTTTCCTCCCAGGAACTATTTCCAGTTACTATTTCCTGGTGGCTCTGCTCACCCTTGCCCACCTTCCAGTGACCCTGAGGGCTCAGGCCTGAGTGCCCTGCTTGGACTGTGCAGAGCTCAGAGCACTGTGAGGACCGCCCGCCCCTTCCTGTCAGGCTGCTCGGGGACAGATGGATTGGTACCTGGTGCTGTCTGCAGAACTCAGTCTTCAGTCCTGCGCCCCCCCCCCCACTCTGCTGACTCCCTGAGGGGTAGCAGGGCAGTCACAGTGTGATCCCTGTGCCCTAGCTGCTGGCCTGACCTGGACTTAGCTGTATGGGGGCTGCTGCTTGCTTGTTTTCTCACCAGGCCTGCGCCAACACTCGGCCACTCCCCAGGCCCCGAACTGTTCCCCAGTGGGGACTTAACACCACGTTCCATTAGCTAAGTGACTGTATGTACACCTCATACTTCAGCATCCGAGGATGTGGGGGTGAGGAGGATTGTTCTAAAGAAATAAAATCCAAGGAGGCAGTAGATGATTCTTTTTGCTTTAAAATCTTTGGACTAAAGATATGTTTTTATATATATAAATATATAAAGTAAATTGTTATGTAACTATTATTGTTTCCTGTATGTTCTAATTTTGTTTTATGATGTAATTAAAGAAAATAAGCCGTGAAGACTTTTCATTTTCCTGTGGATGCAGCCTGACTTGAGCTATGATTCCTAAATATGTTCCTAGAACTGCAAAGGCTCTTGGGCTGAATGGACTTTTGGGGGGATGTTGGTGCTTTTTAAATACTGTTTTACTCTCTTTACTTAAATATCATCAATTCACTTAATAACCAAATAGCCTGACTGCACGAGACTTCAAGAAACAGAGGACATAGTGTAAATCTGAGCTGCCTTAACTAGGTTCACCCACAGGGCTGGAGAGAGAGCTCAGCAGTGAAGAGCACTTGTACCTTTGCAAAAGACCAGGGATTGATTCATTGCACCCACACAGCACACAGCGGCTCACAACTGCCTGTAACTCCATTCCCAGAGGACCTAGTGTCCTCTCCTGGCCTCTGTGACCACCATGCACATGCCTTGTTATGGATGGTGTGAGTCACATGTGGACGCTAGAACTGAGGTTCTGCTAAAGCAGCAAGCGCACAGAACCCCAGAGCCATCTCTCCAGCTCCACCTACCCGCCCACCCCCCTGACACAGCCTCACTGTGTAGTGTGTAGTGGAACTTCTGGTCCAGGCCAGGCCAGCAGTGGTGGGATACTTGCTTCCAGTCTGCTTGAGTGTGCCTAAGTTCTGCCCCAGCACTGCTCCCTGCAGAAGAATCCCTCAACCTGAGTCCCTGGCTTACCTTTCCCTTGTCAAAGGAAGGGTGAATTCAGATGGAGCAAGTGCAGAACGATGCATGCAGATGCAGGAGTCAGGATGTCCAGTAGCATCCACTGCCCGTGTGGCTTCAGACAGCTGTTCCACTAGCAGTTATCTAATACAGGTCTGGGAATAGTAATGGCTAATGCCACTGTATTTGCTGCTTTTCTTGGCTTCATTCTGACAAAGATCCCAATATCCAGCCTATAGTAGAGGTCCAAGGGAACACAAGTGTTAATAGCAGGTGCCTGTCACTTCGGTAGAGATGAGTAAGAGTCGAATTAGCTCATGGCTTTAGGCAGTGGTGCATCCCTCTAATCCCAACGCTTGGAAGGTGAGGTGCTTGGGTTCCTGAGGCTACACAGAAAAACCCTGTCTCAAAAAATCAAGAGTGAGGGGCCAACTGGCGAGGTGACTCCACAGCTAAGAGCACTTGCTGCTCTCCAGAGGACCTGGGTTCAGTTCCCAGCTCACAACCATCTGTGGCTTCAATTCCGGCAGTTCTGATGCTTCCTCAAGGCTTCTGCTGACGATATGTGCTCACACAGGATGGGCAAATTTAATCTTTAAGGAAGCAAAACAGGTTCAAGTGGAGGCAGGAGGACCAAGAGTTCAAGGTCATCTTTGGCTTTGTAACAAACGTGAGTTGAGCCTGGGCAACGTGACACCCTGTTTCAGACCAAAAACCGGGACACTGAAAAGGCAAAGCACTTGCCTAGCACATGAATGGTACTTGATTCAATAGGCAACATCATTTAAAAAAAAAAATATTATCTACAGTATGAAAAACCCTTGAGGCTTATGAAATCATAAGTCCCATTTGACACCCACACCCCACCCACACACACATAGACTTTTAAAAGGCAGTTTCTTGTTATGTATCCCAGGCGAGTCTCAGAAATGAAATCCTTGTGACTCAGTCTGCTGACTGCTGGAATTACAGGTGTGTGACATCTTTATGCTGCATAAATTGCAGATGAGGTCTGAATTGGTCATCTGGGAGCCAGCAGAGGTGTCTGGCTGGCTTATCCCATGACTCCGTCATTGTTAACTTTGTGAAGGAGACAGAAAGGTTTTTAAATAGGCAAGCTTCTCTTCCCTTCTGTCAATCCGAACCACGGTTTACCTGTCTTCCCATCCGCTTTTTCTTGCCAGAGCCCATCAGGTGTAAGATTCAACAAGGGAGTGAGTCTGAGCAAAAAAACTGTCATAATGAAATCCATTATTTTGAGCCCTAAAACAGAAATGCTTTGGCAGATGATTGGTGAGATTTCTAAGAGTGAAGCTGGCTGCTGCCAGCCCTGCCAACCTGGGTTCCACAGTAGGAGACAACCAACTCATTCAAGTTGTCCTCTGACCTCCATACTTGCCAACATGTGTGCACCCAGCCCACTAAACGTCGTTTAAGATTTTTACTTGAAAAACGCACGAGTCTGAGTGTGTAGCTCAGTGGTAGAGCATCTCCAAGGCTGTGTTCAGTCTACAGAGCTGCAAAGAAAAAGACTCATAGGAAGTTCTATGTATGGCATTAATGTGGGGAAAGATTGCTCAAGTCTTAAAAACATTAACAACCTCATTTTCATTAAAGGCAGGTGTTGCTGTGTCCTTGGCTGCATGTGCAAAGCCTGGGTCTGGTCTCCAGCCCTGCCTTGTGTCTCAGTACTGGGGAACAGCCATGTTAGTCCCCAGATCTCTAGAGCTAGCTTTAAGTTGACCCAAGAGATCTGAAAGTTGAGTTGCAGCTGGTCTTTGCTCCTTTGTAGGTTCTCCCCACCCCCACCATTTCACCCCCATCACTACATAGGAGAAGAAGGATAGAAGGGATAGAAGGGAGAAGGAGGGAAGGGGAGGGGGGGAGAGAGAGAGAGAGCTGCATCTAATTTCTTTCTTCTTTGAGCAGTACTAACGACACAACCAACCCCACCCCCGACAACCACCAACCCCACCTTATCAGGGTTCTAGAAATTATAAACCCTCTGAAAAATTCCCAGAATGTCAAACATCACACCATTGCAGAAACTGTCTACACCTGGTAAAACTACGCCTCTGCCAGAGCAAGGGGCAAGTCATACTCAGCTGCTGGGAAGTCGCTCCACATCCCACACCCGGGATTAAACCAAAAACACATTCTCATAAGACTTCTGTGGGGTTTTTTTTATTTACTTATGTGTATTAGTGTTGTGCCTGCATGTATTTCTAATGTGAGAGTGTCAAATCTTGGAATTACATACAGTTGTCAACTGCCCTGTGGGTACTGGGAATTGAACCCCGGACCTCTGGAAGAGCAGCCAATGCCCCCCAACTGCTGAGCCATCTCTTCAGCCCCATTTCTGTTTTAAAAGAAACTAAAGTCCCAGAATTCTCACTACATTGAGTCTTGTGGAGGCTGGAGTACAAGCTTTTTGCCGAAACCAGCTGAGTGGAGGGGGTGGGAATCCAGCCTGAATGGTTTTGCCCCAGGCTACATCCCTTTCCCTGTTAAGAGTTTTTAAAGGTTTTTTTTGTTGTTGTTGTTGTTTGTTTTTTTTATGAATAGCAGTACACTGTAGCTGTCTTAAGACACACCAGAAGAGGGCATGGGATCCCATTACAGACGGTTGTGACCCACCATGTGGTTGCTGGGAATTGAACTCAGGACCTCTGGAAGAGCAGTCAGTGCAATTAACCAGTCAGCCATCTCTCCAGCTCCATCCTTATCAAAAGTTTAAAGAGTGTTGCTACTTAGAAATTCTAAAGCCAGTAAGACGTGAACAACACATTCTGTCTTTGTAAAGTTGACTTTCTGGACTGGAGACGGAGATACTCAGCAGTTAAGAACTGGCTTCTTGCCGGGCGGTGGTGGTGCACACCTTTAATCCCAGCACTTGGGAGGCAGAGGCAGGTGGATTTCTGAGTTCGAGGCCAGCCTGGTCTACAGAGTGAGATTCAGGACAGCCAGGGCTACACAGAGAAACCCTGTCTCGAAAAAAACCAAAAAAAGAAAAAAGAAAAAGTTACATTTTATAGGCTTTTTTTTTTTTTTTTGAGGCAGTTTTGCTATGTAGCTCTAGCTGTCCTGGAACTCACTATGTAGACCAGGCTGGCCTGGAATTCATAGAGATTCTCCTGCCTCTGGCTCCCGAGTGTTTGGGATTAAAGGTTTGCACTACCACACCCAGCTTAAAAAATGAATCTTTAATGTGTAACATTTTACAAGGAACGTGTAAGTAAAACAAACATTTAGTTTAGTTAATACTACTCCCTCGAAAGGCTCTCAGTCTGTGTTGACAGGGATTCCTTGTCTCTTCAGCTTGGTTGGCTCAGAGGGAGCGGCAGGGGAGGCTGGGTCCTGGCTGGGTCCTGGCGTTCAGCAGTTTCTCATGCACAGAAAGCAAAAGGAAACTAGAGACTTTGTGTCTCCTCCGGGATTGAAGCACAGAACGCTCTGACTCTGAACCTGGGACCTGGGGTCAGCTGGGCATTTTAACAGAGCTCCTGAGCACGCAGCGAACCAGGCTGCTATCAGTTTTGGGTTTAGGTCAGAATCCAGTACTAGGCTCCTGAATTCCACACTAAAAATAGCATGGCACTGTGCACACTACCTGTGATAGATCCTGATGCTCTCTGCAACCAGGAGTCTTTGCAGACTCACTTCAGAGCCAGGCTGTGTGTGCTCTCAGTCATGAGCATTGGAAAGGCCTCCCTTTCCCTGGGTCATCTAGGAGGCTAAACAGCCCTTCACCTTCTGGAGGCCAGACATTCCTCTCCCTCTAAAACCTACTTATTCTGGTCTCAAAACAATCTCACCATGCAACCCAGGCTGGCCTTGAGCTCAGGATCCCAGCCTCTTGAGTCCTGGAATCCAGGTGTGTGCTGGATTCAGCATAGCCAAAGGGTCAACTTTCTTTTTTCTTTTTTCTTTTTTTGTTTTTTTTGAGACAGGGTTTCTCTGTGTAGTTCTGGCTGTCCTGGAACTCACTCTGTAGACCAGGCTGGCCTTGAACTCAGAAATCCGCCAGCCTCTGCCTGCCAAGTGCTGGGATTAAAGGCGTGCGTCACCACTGCCCGACTGAGGGTCAACTTTCTTTACCACCATCTTTCCTTACAAAGTAAGATTCATCTTTCGGGTTCAGAAAGAGCTAAGAAATGTGCAGAGAGACACATCTGTCTTTGGAGCCAAAAGGAGCCAAATGAAAGGAATCCGGCCCTGGGCCAGGGAGGGACCAGGTAGGTCTGCCTGTTCTCATACCTGTTTGCTGAGAGCACAGATGCCCCTAGGGACATAGTCAAAAAGGCCGAGGAACTGAGTGACTGGGGTAGGG